TTGTCTTTCCACATGCCCATGTTTCATGTTGGATTGAATCTGTGTGCTTTCGTTCATTTTATGACAAAATTAAACTGCACACAGCAGTCATTATGGAAATAAAAAGGCTACTATATGGAGATCTGTGTGGGTGGGATGAGGGTGGTGGACTCTGAATAATGCATTTCCTCTATGGACCACCACACTCACTGGGTCTCAGATGTGTACTGTGTCAGGGCAATAAATCAAGCAGCTGTGTCAGATTTATTACAGTTGTGTTTTTTATGAACGGTCATTTAGTTTTCATGAGGATGCTTCGTGGTGGTAACACATGACGGCCTCTGTGAGACACCTGCAACATTCCTGTGACATCACACATCACTGCCCTTGCAAGAGGATATATAATGGTGCAGAGGCTGTGGTGTGTCCACGTTGTTTCTTTAAATTCAGTATATTCAATACAAACTGAATACATATATATACTGCATATAGCATTTTTTTTATTATTATTATTATTTTTATCGCTCTTTCATTTCAGTGCAATTGTCCAGGCTCAGAAACATCAGAATATCTGGATCTTGCATGTGTACCTCAGTCTTATGTAGCTCTGGCTGCGACTGCAGGAGGAACAGGGGCCATACCAGTCTACATAGTTGTCTAAAATGTCACTTAAAGGCACATTTATAATCTTAAAGGTGCTATGAGTAAAATATATTTTTTATGTGTTAAAAGCTCTACTTTACGTCAGCCATCACTGATATAAAGTGTTCTGTCAATAACATGGCTCTCCCTTGCATCCTTTCTGCAGTAAACAGAGAATACATTTCCTGGTATCCTGTTCCCACTTTATGAAACCAGGAGAGAGAACTCCTGGTAAAGATGTGCCTCTTAATCCTAAATTATGTATTTTAAATATTTACCTAGATAGTTTTCTAACCTCAAACATGCCAGGTGCCTACTTAAACCTGCAGTTGGTAACTTTTATAAAAAAAATACTTTTTGTCATATTTGCTGAAACTTTCACTATATCGTGACAGTAGAACATGAGACAGATAATCAGTGAAACAATCAGGTTCCTCTGGCTCCTCCTAGCGCTCCTAATGGTATTTAGAAAAATCCACCGGGCCTGAACAAAAAAAAACAATCAGATCTTTTCATAATGAATTGTGAAGCTATTTGTAAAGTCTGTTTCAATAATGTGATTTTTTTCAGTTCAAATACATGTAATAATATCTGTCATAATATATATATGTGTGATTGTTTGTGATTAAATCAGCATATGGGGTTAACGTTAGGGTTAGAGGTTAGGTGTTAGGGTAATGGTAAATGGACCTGTACTTGTATTGTGCCTTTCTAG